GATGGAGATTTACAAAAGAAAGGGGGTGGAAATCTCTAGCTATATCGTTTGTTTGTTTTTTTAACTTAGCCTTTCGAAAGCATTTTCAATAGGTGTTTCCTTCAACCGTCTCATCATATTCTTTAAGTGCTATCAAGATGTTGTGGTGTGTGTGTGTGTGTGTGTGTGTGTGTGTGTGTCTTCCCAGCCACGGCCTCACAACCTTCTCTCCTAGAAAGTCAGCCTTCCCAAGGAGTCTGCAGCCTCCCCTGGAATGTGTGCCAAAGACCCAGGTTTCAGGGGCACGGCTCGGGCCTCCAGGGGGAAGCTGGGTACCAATATTTTCGGTGCAGTTTCTGCCAGGAGCCGGACGGCAGTTGCTGTGGGTGGACACCGACGGCGGGCGGCAGAGCTCCAGCGGGTCTTCGTGGCGTGACGCTCCAGAAGCGATGGCAGGCTGCTCCCCAGGCACCTCTGCCTTTCTGTTCGGGGTGGAGCGCGTCGCTGTTTGTGACCCCCAGAGATGGGCGCCATTCGGACCCGGGGGGGTTCTGGGAAGGGGGCTCACTGTGGCCCAGGAAGGGGCGAATGCAAACACGCGGTCAGTCAGAAAGCACTGGCGGGAGTGTGCCACACATTGCAGGTTTCAGTGAAGCCCTAAGGTTGTGTGTGTGTGTGTGTGCACGTACGTGCGCTTGCACACTGCAGGCATGCACCCTCAGTCACACACTCATCTGAGCCTCCTCAGGGTGCCTTCAAGAAACAGTCCAGAGTCAAGGCAGCGGCTTCTGAGGAGCTGGCTGGGCCAGCTCTAGTCCGGGCAGCGGGCCGGCTCAGAAGACCAGGGTGGCCGTTTCATGGGGGTCCCCAAGGGGCCATCTTGACTTTCTTGAAGGACACGGAATGATCACGGAGGCCTGTTGGGAAGACACTTTAAGGAAACCGAAAGCTGCCTTGCTGAGAGGAAGGCCAAGGAAGCTGTGGCCTGCACCGTCCAGTCTGCACAGTGCGGCCGCTCCTTCTCCAGGGTCAGGTCCGAAGTTCCCCACAGCGTTTCCTGGGGAACCGCTACCCCTCCGCCCACCCTAGTCAAATAGCCCGACCGCTCACCTTCCTGCCTGCCCTTGGGCGAGGTGTAGCTGGGCGCTCGGCTTCCGACGCATGCGGGCAAGCCGGAGCTTCGTGTTGGCTGCCGCTGCCCAACAAGGGACCTGGGACTTTGGACGGTGCTTTGCGCTTGCCTTGTTTGACATGGGCTTGTTTGTCCCTCAAGACGCCAAGCCCATTCCCGGTCGACTTTCCCTCTTTTGTTTTTCTTTCTTTTTTTAAGCCACTCAGACCAATATGTAGGCTGGAAGCATGGGCAATGTGGAGGGATTTTGTTTTTCAAGGAACACCCTGTATATATTGACCTAGTCCATCTCAAGAAATGAAATCAACAACAATATCCTGCTAAGCCCACCACTGTTTTCCCCCCACCCCTGCAACCCTCCCCTCGCCATCATCAAAGGCTTGTCTTTGGGTCTGTAAATCACATTTCTTTTCTTTGTTTTTCCTTCGATTGATGGTGTTGTCAAACATGTAATTTTGTAGAATTGACTAAGCTTGCTAAGCATCATGTTCCGTAGCATGCCCGTTTCGTGGAGCAATCCCGTGTTGACTCACCGCGTCTTTGAGAAGATGGGCTCCTGCCTACCTGGTTATCGGGGCACAGCACCCTCCCAGCCCCGGGCCCTGCCCACTCCTTGCTGTCCTGGAGCTCAGAGTCTGGGGAGGCTGCTCACAGCTCTCTCTGGTGCCCCACCTCTTCACCATGCCCCTGAGCCCCGGCAGACACGCCCAGGCCAGATCCGCTGTCCCCAGGGATGAAGCATTGGGGAGAAGCGACGGTGCCCACACTGCCCGGCCCCTCCCCACCCAGGGCTGCGTCCACTCCACTCCCGACACCCTCAGAGTCGGAGCCACGCGGGGTGGGACCACAGGGTGTGTGCACGCTGTGTGTGATGTGTGTGTATACAAGACTTTTTCAAACATTCATGGGAAAAAAACACATTATCTTTTAATTCCATTTTCAGTAAATATTTGAAGCCCCATCCTGTGTGGGGTGTATATGTG